CTGTCCACCGCCGAGCCGAAAAGGACCGGCCAAGAGGAGGCCGTGACGGGAAGAGGGGACAAGGAGCTGAGAAGGGGACGCCAAGAGAGAGGCCAAGGAGGCATGCAAAGCGCCCAGGGCGGGGAGGGAGGCGCAAGAGGTATGTGGGAGGGCAGGGGAGGCTCGACGCAGAAGATGACCCAGGACCAGACAAGGCAGCGGGTGCGGGATTCAGGAATAGGAGGAACGAGAAACGACGCAAGAGTAAGGGGAGAGGGCGGAGAAAAAGGACACGGCGAAGGGTAGAGAACATCAGCCACGACGGAATATGAGGAGAAAAGCCAAAAGAGTGGGAGTGGCAGGGGGAGGACGGCGGACGTGCGTGGCGGAAAGATGCGGAGAGGACAAAAGGGGGAAAAAAGGGAGAGGAGGAAAGGGGCGGGAAGAAGCTGGAAAAAGCCGCCCCAAGCAAAGCCGAAAGAAAAAAGAATGATGAGAAGAGAGAGAGAGAGCAGGCAAAAAATTATTCAGCGCGGGCCAAGAGAAAGGAAAGAATAAGGAAAGCGAAGCCAAAAAAAAGGGAAACGACCCAAAAAGGCGGACAGACAACACAAAGGCAAGGAGGAGGAGCATAAACGACTGGAGCCGCGCGCCGGGGCCGGAAAAGGAGAGCTAAAAGCAAGAGGGGGAGAACGCACTACAGCAGGATACGAGGATAGCGTAAAATAGAAAGCAAGAGCGGAAAACGAAAAGGAGGAAATGAGAGAAAGCAGAGGAAGACGAGACGAGTAGGGAGAGGGAAGAGGAAACGAGAAGAGAGAAACTGAGACGGAAGGGCGGTAAGAAGCAGGTAAAGTAACGACGGGAAAGTGAGGGAAATAGAGAAGAAAGAGGCAGAGGAAGGTAGGAGAAGAGCGCACACACGGCAACGCGAGGGAGAGAGGAGAGGGCAAGAGAGGGAAAAAGGCGAAAAAAACCCAAAAGCAGGCGCGTGGCCAACAGAAGGCGGGGCCAAACCAAAAAGGAAGGAAAAACCAGGAAGAAACGGCAGGACGAGACAGAAGGGGAAAGACAAAACAGTAGACGGAAGGGGGAGAAGACAGGGAATATATAACGACGGAATAGAAACAAAATAGTGTAGAGGAAGGAGCAGAAGAGTGGCACACGCGGCAACGCCCAACAGAAGAGAGCCGGGGGAGAGAGAATCCGAAGCAAGCCATGGCGCGCCGCCAGCAGAAGCCCGGCGGATGGGACTGCAGAAAAAACCCGCAGGCGCAGAAGCAAAGACAGAACAGAGCGCAGAGACTAGGGGCCGGAGTCCCAAGAAGGGGGGGGGGGGGGGGGGGGGGGGGTCAAGAGGCCCCACCCGCAAAAAGGTGGGGCGGAAAAAGGGGAGGAGGGAGGGGTGGGGAAATAGGGTGGGGAAGGGGGCCCCACCGCCCAAACAAAGGGGGGGCTGCCTGAAGGGGAGCAAGCGGAAGCAGGTTGGCCCAGACCCGATCGGCAAAAAAAGGGGGGGGCCCACTCCGTGAAAAAGAGAGCGGGGCGCGCCCACGGCGCAGTAGAGGCAACGGAACAAATGTGAGAGGGGGGCAAGAGCACCAGCCACCAGAGGAGGGCTGGAGAGGCAGAGGACAAGAGGGGAAACCAGGGGAGGCGAGAGAAGGGAGGGAGGGGACAGTATTGAGAAGGCAAGGGCCAAAAGAGCATCAGAGGGAGAGTGTAATAAGGCATGCGAGTGAGAGGAGGCGAAGGGAGGGGCCCAATGAGGAGTCGGGACAGTGAGAAGGGAGGGCGCACAGAAGGGATGGCAGGAGGCAAGTGTAGATGAGGGCGCCGGGAGGGGGGGGCTGTAGCTGAAAAGGGGTCAGGGTTAAAAAAAGATGAGAGGCGCAGGCCAAGAGGCGGGTTAAGTGAGGGGAAGGAAGCGGGCGAGAAAGGTAAGAGGAAGGGGGGCAAGTGGACTCGACCCGGAAAAAGCGTGGCGGGCGGGGGGTGTGACTCCGGGGAGCAAACGGGCGCGGGGGGACCCGAAAAAACCCGACAAGCAACCCGGACGGCCGGAAAATAAGCCAGGTGGCGGGGGACCGCCGCGCGCTCAGAGCACGCCGCGCGCCGGCGCGGCGGGCGCGCAGTGGCGGGCCTGTCGGACGCCGGGCTGCGGCTAAACGCCGGCGGGAGGGGGCTAGGGTGGGTGGCGCGCGACGGCGGGACCGGAACGCCGGCCTGAAAGGTTCCGATACGCGCGGGTGCACGGGGGCGAGAGGACGCTGGCCGCACGGGCGGCCAGCGGACGGGGCGGCACGCGCGTGGCGGGGAGCGGCCGGGCGCGCCCAGGTCGGGGGGTGGCGGTGGCCAACCGGCAACCCGGCCGGGGCGGGGCCGGTTGTGTAAAGGGCGGACCGGGGAAGGCAAAAAAGGGGTCGGGTGCGGTGGGGCCCGGGGAGAGCCGGGTGCAACGCAGGGGCGACCCGAACCCAACCCGTCGACCGGAAGGTGACACCCCGGAGGGAAGATGGGGGAACGCGCCCGGCGACCGCGTAGGAATATGGGAGGACACACAAAGACGAGAAGGGAAGGGCCAGAACGGGGGGCGACTTGGCGGGGGCGAGGGAATGGCTAAGGCAAGAAGTAAGGACGTAAAAAAGAAAAGATGGAAGTGAACGTAGGGAAAGGGGGGAGGGTATGAACTAGAGCGGAGGAAGAACGAGAGCACGAGGGCGCACGCGCATCGCAACAGAAAAAAAAAAAATAGAAGAAAAAAGGGCAAAGAGCCGGAGAAAAAGGAAAAGAGAGGAAAGGAGGGGAGGAGAAAGAGAAGAAAGGATGAGGAAGGAAGGAAGAGAGACAAGAAAGAGAAAGGCGTAGAAAATAGGGGACCAGAAAAATGATGGAGGTAACGCATCAAAAGGAAAAAGAGGAAGGGGGGGGGGAAGGAAAAAGAGGTCAAGGAAGAGAGGAAGACGAACAAGGGAACCCCGAAAGGGGTGAAAAAGAGAACAAGGGGGCGGCGGGGAGGGAAGGCGACGCAAAAACGGGGGCGGCGGGGAGGGAGGTAAGGCAGAAGAAAGGGTCGTATAGGAGAACAAAGGCAGCGCTTGGAGGCAACGGAAAAAATGAGCGGAGAGGAGGGCAAGCAGAGAAGAAGAAGGGGGGGGGGGGGGGGGGGAGGGAGAAGAAGGGGGGAAGAGACAGAGAAAGCCGACAGGGGGGGGACGAGGACGGCAGGGAAAAAGGGGAAGGGGTAGGACGAAAAATGGAGGAAGAAGAGCAACACAAAAGAAAGGCGAAGGCAAAGAGGCGGACAAGAGGGACAGGAGCAATAAAGAAAAAGGGGAGGGAAAGGAAAGAAAAAGAGGAGGCAAAATTACCAATGTAAAAGAAGTACAAGGAAGGGCCGGAAAGGGATCACGAGAGGGGGGAGGGGGCAGCGGGGGGACGGGGGGGGGCAATAGGCCAGAAGGAGGAGGTGGGGGGGCCCGTAGGGGAGGAGGGTGCAAAAAGGGAATAATAGGGGGGAACGACGTTTGACAGGAGAAGCGAAAAAATGTGACGGGGGGCCGCGGCATATTGGGACAAAGGCCGTGGGAGAGAAAAGGAGAGCATGGACGAAACAGACGCGCAAGGGACAAAGACAGCCACAAACAAAAGCGGAGGGCAAGAAACACCGTAGAGACATAGCATATCACGACAAAAGAAGCCGGAAAGGGGCGGCAATAACGCGGAACAGGGAGGAGGGAGGGAAAACAAGAAGAAAAAAGGGGGGGTGGAGGATTTTTACACGCGACATAGAGGGGCAGGATGGCGTGCGGAGGGGCTGCGCAAGGTGGGGACGTGTGTCAAAAGATCAGAGCGCACTGGCAGCGGCAGCGGAGCACAAAACAGGCAGGGGAGAACAGGCAACGGGCAAAAAAAGAAGACGGGTGGGGCGGCAAAGCGGAGGTGCGGAAAAAGAAACGATGAGACAAAAGCTGAGGAAAGAGGGGGCGGCGACGACGAGAAAGGCCCAGAGCACCCCACCGCGCCCGACGGAGGGCGGCGCGCCGCGCGGGCGCGCAGCGGCAAAAGACTCCAAAGACAGCGCCGGGGCCGCGGCTCTGCGGCCCGGCGGCCCCTTGGCCGCGCCGCCAGCAGCGCCGCGGGCACCAAGCGCAAGTTCCCTCCAATCCCGTCGCACACATAAACACCAGCAGGGCCGCCACGGCAGCCCCACCGCCAGCAAGCCCCACGCCCCGGCCAATCGTCACAGCACCATCCGGCCCAACGGCCCGAGGCCCATTGCCAGCACTGGCGCGAAAAGCGGGGCCACGGGCGCCCCGACGCACCAGGGGGCGCCGTGCGCATCGCCAGCGCCCGACGGCCGCGAGAAGGAGTAATTCCGCGCGCTGCGGCGAAGGGGGGCAACAAGCCAGCGCAAGGGGAGAGCGGCAGGGGAGTATAGACGCCGACACCGGCCGTGGGGCAGCAAGAGGAAGGGGGAGGCACTGAAACCAAGCAGTAGGAGGGAGCAGGCGCGATACGACCACAGGAAAATAGGGGGAGGCCACGAGGGGAGAGAGCAGACGACAGAGAGATGAGGGCGGCATGGGAGGGCGGGGGTCGAGGGCTCGAGCCGAGACGGAGGGCGGAGCGAGGAAAAGGCGTCGGAAAAGAAGCGACGCGGTGGAATGATAACGCACGAGAGGCGAGAAGGCGAGCGGGTTGAGAGGGATGGCCAAGGGGAGATGGGTCAGATGGGGTGCGCACAAGCGGTATTGGGTTAGGTTCAGATCAAACGGAGGGAGAGGTGCGCGCTAGGCGGGCGGAAGCGAGGGATGCGTGGCCGGCGAGGGGGCAGAGGGCGGGAAGAAGAAGAGCAGAAGTGAATGGCGGCGAGGGGGGTGGGACAGCCCGCCAGGGGCGGCGAGGAGGGGCGGAGGGGGCAGCAGGAAAGGGTGGGGGGGGGGGGTGGGAGAGGCTGTGCTAAGGAAGGGGGGATTAGGAGGGAAGAGGAGAGAGTGGGGTAGGGTAGAGCGGGAGCACGAAGAAGAATGCGAAATAAGATACGGGGGCGGAGAAGAGTGCGCAGGACACAGGCTAGCCACGAGTCGAAGGGGAAGACAGGGAGCAGTAAGCGCAGAAGGAAGTGGGGGAGAAAATAGAGGGGAAGGAGGATGGTAGGGGAAAAGGGAGCCAATGGAAAGGCAGGGGCCAGTGGCGGAGGAAAGCAACACACCTGAGGGATACTAACCCGGCGGACCCCCGCGAGAGAAAGGAGGGGGCGCGGAAAGGCAATATGGGAGGCGGGAGGCCAAGCGCCGCGGGCCACAGCAGCGGAGGCAAGCCGGGGCCCAGGGCAGGAGGGCGGGAGCCGCGCGGGGGCCGCGCGCCGCCGGTGGGGGTGGGAGAAGAGATCCACGGCACGATAAGGCATCGGTGGCCCGCGAGTGCAGCCGCGGATGGGGCAAGCGGAGAGGGGAAGCCGAAGACAGGGGAGGGCCGCACACAAGAAGGGCGCCGGAGAGGGGGGCCGGAGGGAGCGAGCAGAGAAGGGGGTGGAGGGCAGAAGAAGAACGGGCAAAGGAAAGGGAGAGGGTAAGAAAGGGTAAAAGAAAAGGAAGAAAGGAAAAGAAGGGGAAGAATAAAAAGGAAGAGGAGAGGAGGAGCCAAAGGGTCTGGCACGAGGCGTCAGAATCTGAGGAAGTGGGGCAGGAGAAAGATCGGGCCGCTAAGATAGCCAACGAGTAGGCGGGAGCCGGATTGAGAGGGAATAAGCAGAAAAGAAGCAGGGCCGCGGCCCGCCGCGCAACCCAGGGGGAAAGCGCGCCCTGGCGCGCGCATAGGACCAAACGAAAAAGAACCAGCGCCGCGAAGGGCGGCGGCTCGCACCCCACCAGAGAAGAAAGCAGGCGTGAAGGGCGGAGGGCAATCCCGGCCACCGCGACGGCCAAGCCCCGCGCTGGCAGTCAGAGCGGCGCGGACAGCGCAACTCCGGGGGGCGGCAGGCCCACCCCGACGGCGTGGTGGGTGCCACCGCGGCAGCGCCACGGGGCCAGCCAATTGAGATCCACGCTCGGCTAGGCGCCCGCGCGGGAGGGCGGCACCCCGTGCGCGGCGGGCCGACGCCGGGGCCGGCCCCGCCGCCGGCACGCGAGTGGGCAACGACAACGATCAACGCTCGGACGAACGCAGATGCGGGCGGCGAGCGCGGTACCAGCGGGGGCAGCCCAATAGTGGCCGGGGCGGCCTGAGACGGAGACCGCCGTGTGCGGGCGGGCCGGCCGCCCCCGGCCGAAGAGGAGGCACAACCGCGGAAGGGCGAGAGAGCACCGGAAGAGCGCACAGGGAGCGGGAGGGGGAGAGGGACCCATTGGGCGAAGTAAGCGAGCGGGGACTGGATCGCGCCGTAAATCGTAGGGCGAGGGAGGGAGAAGTGGAGGCCAGGGGGCGGAGGGAACTTGGGGCACGAGGGACGACAGGAGGGAGGGGGGACAGGGGCCGGGTGGGGAGGGGGGGAAGGGGAGGGGAGGGGTTAGGGAGGGGGGCGGACGGGGGAGGACGGGGATGGGGGTTGGGAGTGGTAGCGGGGGGGAATGAGGGAGAGGGGGGAAGAGCGGCGAGGAGGCGGAGAGGAGGGGAGAAGTGAGAGGCAAGAGGCAAAAGGAGAGGGAGGGGAGGAGTGTGGCATTAGATGAATGAGAACCCAGAGAAAGGAGAGAAGAAAGTAGAGGGAGATGGGGGTGTTTTTTTGGGGTAGGGAGGGTCCGGGAGAGCGGCGCTGCCATCCAGCGGGCCTGCGCGGGGTGAAGCGGGGGAGGGGCCGAGAAGAGGTGGGCAAGACACAAAAGGCGGACGGTGGGGGAAGGGAATGGGGCGCCACGGGCCGGGGGGCGAAGCGGAAGAGGAAAGAAGAGAGGGAAGGGAAAAGGGCAAACAGGAGAAGAAAAGAAGAAAGCAGCAGGAACAGAGGGCGCGGGGTGTGGCAGAGGAAAAAAAAAACGGGGTGGGCGCGGGGTGGAAAGAAAAGAAGGAAAGGGGGGCACTGGGGCAGAAAAGGGCAAGAGGCGGGGGGAGGGAGAGGAGGGAGAGAGGGGGGCGGAGAAAGAGAGGGGGGGGGGAAGGGCGGGGAAAGTGCGAGGAGGTGGGCGGAGGACGAGAGGGAGTAGAAAAGGGAGTTGGGAAAGGGGAAGAGGAAAAAGGAAAGGGGGGAGGGCTGAAAGGGAAAATAGGAGGGGCACAACGGGGAAGGGGGGTGAAAAGAAGGAAAAAGAGGGCCCAAACAAAAGATTGGGTATGGAGGGAGATAAAGCAAAACTAGGAAAAAAAGCGAGACTCCAAAGAAAACCTGAAGGAGCAAGGGGAAGGCATAAGGGTGGGAGGAGGGGAAGGGGGAGGGACGCCCGAGGGGGAGGGAGGGAAAGAAAGGGGAGGGGGTGAGAATGGACAGTAGGGTGTATGAGGCGGGAGGTGTGACGGTAGGGGGGGAGGAGGTCTGGACGCTAGGGGGAGGAGGAAAAGGAGAAGGGGGAGAAGGAAGGCAGAGGCAACACCACACGGGAGGAGTGAGAGGGAGAGGCTATAACCGGCGGGTAGCACGAAAAAAAAAAAAAAAAAAATGACGGCTGAGACGCGGGGGACCAGAGCAGAGAGGGGGCTAGGGAAGGAACAGAGGAGCGGGAGAAGGAGGACGGAGAAGGAAGGAAGCAAAGCAAAGAAGACCAAGGGGGTAGGAGTCTAGGAAAAGCAAAGAAGACGCAAGGGGAGACGGGGAACACACGGAGAGGGGTGGATAAGGGTTGGGAGGTATGGCCGAGAGGTAGGGTACGAGTGGGAAGGAAAAAATAAAAGGGACGAGTGGTGGAAAGGGGTGGGAGCGGAACGCAAGAGGGGAGTTCTGGGAAACAGAGGGGCGAGAGCAGGGGAGAGGCGGGGAGGCGTGAAGGCAGGCATGCAGGGAGTAGAGGGAGCAGAAAAGAAAGGGAAGGAGGTGGAAGGGGGTATTGAGGCGAGGGAACGGGGAGGCTGGGGGGGGGTGGTGGAGGGGGAGGTGAGAGGGAGCCAGAGGGAGCGCGTGAGGCAGCAGAGGAGGGGAGCCCGGACACAGGGGCCAGAAGGGGATGGAAGGTTGAGGGGACGGGGGGAAGGCAGGATGCGGGACGCAGCCAGGCAAGAAAAAGAAATGAGAAAAAAATCTGGCGGCAGGTCAGTGCTTAGGGGAGGGGGGCCTAAATCTTGAGGTCATGAGATGGATAGAGGAGAGTAGGGCAACAGCGGACAGAGGTAGGGGCAAGGCGGGCTGACGGGGGGGGGCGGGGGCAGAACCGTGAGGGGACCCGGAGCGAAATGCGGCCAACCCGAACCAGACGCCTGGGCAAACAGGGTCAGACATGTCAATCCGGACACCGACCAGCGCACGGGGCCGGGTTGGACCCGACCCGACCCGCGGGGAGAGAACGGAGCGCACTGTACAGACGGTGTAAGGCGGAACCAAAGGCCGCGGGATTCCGCACGGGGGAAGGTAGAAGCGATGACCATAGGGACCACGCCGAGGGCGGATCGGCGGACGGGAGGCCGGCGCCTGCCGAGCAGCGCCGCCGAGACGGCATCGCGCTTGGCCGAGACGGGAGCGCCGCAGAGATTCCGATAGGGCTGGAGGGCCGGCGACGGCGCTATGGAGCGCGGTGAGCGGGGCTTATGATAAAATAGAGACGACTGTTTGTTTTTTTTTTTGTGTGTGTGTTTGTTTTTTTGTGTATTTTTTTTGATGTATTAATTTGTTGTCTTTTTTGGTTGAGTGTATTTTTGATACTTATGGTTGTTTTTTTTTTTTCGGTCTGTTTTCTTTTTTTATTAGGGTTTTTTATTGATATTTTGTTTTATTGTTCTTTTTTTTGATTGTCTGTCTTGTTTTTTTTTTTTTGTGCTATGCTTCTTGTTGCATATTTTTAAAATGGAGTTGGTGTACTTTTGGGTAACACCCGAGAAACCTGGATTTTTCAGATCAGTATCGGTTGATTTCGGTGGTTTCGGGTCAACCCGGACCCGTTTTGCTAACGGGTCCAACCAGAACTCCGAATTTTCCGGTCGCTGAGTCAAAAATTGACCACCCATAATTTCTTACCTTTCTAGAAAGATTTAATTCACATAAACTAAAGAATATTGCATGAGATATCAGATTTTTTACGTGAAGATTTTAGATAAAGAAAAAAAAATCACAGAGCCTAATCTAATTGAAATAATGGCATTAATGTAAGTAATCAATTATAAATGATGCCCGTCATCATAATTGGGCAATACATTAGCATAATATAATAGACATGAATTTTAACTACACATAAGATGCTATTTTGGGACCTGGCATTCTAAATTAATGTAAATCCATGCAATTCTATAGCATAACAATGGTTTAAACTATTGTAATTATGCAATATGTATCTACTAAATAACAATAGTTTAAACTATTGTAGGTACTTTCAATAATGACTTGGAAAATATGCTTCATTATGCTTTGATGGGTGAAATAAGGAGAATGAGGAGGTTTGGAGTGAAAAGAGTGAAATTCTTGAAGATTTGCTTTGATGCCTATAAGCTATCATCTGGTGCTATATGCACAATATAAAATTTGTTAGTTGATATATGCGCTATGTTATGTATTTTGATTCTGAAGCCTGAGGGTTTTTCTGATAGTCCCTAAGAAGGGATTTTGTTGGCACGGAGAATGGATTTTGCTAGGTTCTATATACACAAGGCTATATATGTTGGAAGTTGAAGCGTGTAAGCTATTCTGATAATTACTATAAAATATTTATTTATATTTCAGTAGTTATTTAAATGCTTATTAAAAATTCAGTATCAGTATTTGTTTTCATTTCAGCTTTCTGTATAGTACTGCAGTTTATTATTACAACATGGTTTTTCATTCCTTTTGGTTTGAAAAGGAATTATGTTGGCAAAGAGAATGGATTTTGTTAGATTCTATATGCACTATGCTATATATACTAGAAGTTGAAGTGTGTGAGATATTCTAATAATTACTATGAAATATTTGTTTATATTTCAATCAGTTTAAGTAGTTATTTAAATGCTTATTAAAAATTCAGTATCAGTATCTATTCTAGTTTCATCTTTCCATATAATAATATAGTTTAGTATTACAATATGATTTTTTTCATTCCTTTTAGTTTAAGCTATTGATTTCTATTTTAAGCTATAATAGTTTACTGATTCGTGTTATCTCACTTGCTTTTGCTCTCATTTTCAGGCCAAGGAGAGAGCTAAGTAGTTTCTGTTATCATACTCTGATTTGTGTTGTATGTAAGCCTTTTTGGTTAGTTTCATTTTTGTATGTTTAGCTTTATTTTATTTTCCTTTCTATTGCCAAGAGACGTGTTTTTGGATGATATATATACAAATTATTTTTGAGATTTAGGTTTTGTTTGGGGCGCCTTTTTTACTGCTTTTTAAAGTAACTTTATAATATAAAAAATTTTAATTTTGTACTAAAAAATTGTTTTCAGAAACAGTAAGAAAGTCGTCCCAAACAAACCCTTAGTCTTTTGCTTTATATAATATCCAATAGTAATTGTGTTATATAAATTAGATGTTTAATTTTTCTCAGCACTTCTCCAATTGGATCTTGGAGTTAATTTCTAGTTCTTGTAATGATAAAGCACGATATGACTTGTATAGTATTGGGTTATATCGAGTAGGGTTGTGACATGACCTCCACAAACGATGTGAATACCTCAAATCATGAGAATATTTGTGTGAATCTTTGGAATATCTATTGGAGGTAACCTTCTTAAGCTACTTGTCCAAATTAAGTCAAAGCCTCCTATTGGCAGGTACTTTTAGGATAGGAGGTGACCAGTCTTGGCCAAATCTTCATTGCTAAGGTCCGATAAGTTTAGGTTTTTTTATTGAAACATATTAAGCACTTCTAGACACTTGCACAAATATATGCGAGTATATACGAAACTCCAAAGGTAAGTGTGCTCGTATAGGAGCAATTCTGGGATGAGTGACCTCTTGAAAAGTTACATCAATTGAACAATATCGTGAGGTCATTAGGTCAAAATCGACAATACCATGATAGTTAAGAGTTTGAATAGTTACAAATCCGAGCAATACACCAGCCGGAAGATGAGAACTAGTTTCATACAAGACAAAGTGTTATGTCATGAGAGTCACCTCTTCAACCCAATATGAGACAAAGTGTTATATGTAGGGAGCCACTATTTGAACCTATAAGGGTCGCCTCTAGAATCATATCTACCTGGTAGATGATTATGGGATAAGGATACAATGAGAACATCAATTGTGAAAGTAGGAAAGATTGTGAAACTCCTTAAATAAAAAAAGCTAAACACTTAAGACACTCCGAGGTTAAGCGTGCTGCACTGGAGCAATCTTTGGATGGGTTACCTTTTGAGAAGTTACACTAATTGAATAAAATTGGGAGGTCCTTAAGCTAAAGTAGACAATACCTCGATATTTAAGAGTTTGTGATGTTAAATCTGTAATAACTCAAATATATGAAATAAATTTTCTTGAAAAATATAAAAATTCTAAAGTAGAGCGCTTTGACGCTAATTTGGTGAGCATTGTGGCGCCAGACCATGAACAGTATATATATATATATATATATATATATATATATATATATCGATTCCCCTCACTTAATTGTTTGTTCAAGAAGAAATTGAAAGAGCGGGTGAAAGAGAGAGGAGAAAGAAAAGCCTTTGGATCATATTTCTCAGTTATTCCTATTACAGATTTTGTTCTATTCATTGTAAGTGACTAGTATCTTATTTCTATTTTTAATGATTTTAATTTCTACAAATTTTATCTTTTCTAAATCTGCAAAAATTAAATTATCTCCTGATTTCATAAACTTTCATCATGCAAGTTTAGATATGTTATAAATTTGATCGTTCTGAAAGATTTAATATAATTTTATTACATTTTAAATGAAGTATTGAATGATATCAAATACATGATATAATAACTCCACGTGATTCACTGAGTGGAAGTCACAAGGAGCTGGAGATTGATTAATTAGCAGTTATAAAGAGTCGGGATGACTATTTCACGTGATTTAAAAGAGAGTAATAAATGGAGTGCCAACTAATTAAGAGTTAAAGGAGAGACTATATGGGAGTCATAAGTGCATGAGCAAAATAGGCCATAAAATATACTACTCCATTAAATATTTGAAATAATGATATCAAATAAATTGCTATGACCCACTAAATAAATATATGATTAACATTAATACTTATTTTCTATCATTATACTATTAATGTTATTGAATCATAATTTTAATATGTTCTCTGGCATTAATTTATGATTGTTATGATACTGTGATATAATGTGAATGGATTGAGAGGTAATGAATTATAGAGGATAAATTGATATTGATAATCAATATAAAGAATTGATCATATATTTATTTATATAATTTAATAAAATACTGTATCTTTATCTTGGCATGATTTCAATTGTAAAAGATTTTAATTAATTGCTTAGGTTATGTGCTTATATGTGATTTTTATAATGATCAGAAGTGTAAGGATCCTATGATATGAGACTCTGGATAAGATTAAAATATAATCATATTTATTTATATTATTTATTGGTAAGTTCTAATTAAATGATTAAAATGAAGAACATATGTAACTCTTCCAATATAAATCCTGCAGTGTGACAAAATGGTATCAGAGTAATGGTTATTAGAAGAATTAAATATATAACTAGAGCTGATGAATGGAATATAAATGTGATTTCTGATTCATAGTTAGTTGATTGAGTTTACAATTTTATTTGAGCATGCTCTCTCTTGGATTGATATAGAAATGTCAAGGACGATATTTTTTGAAGGTGTGGAGATTGTAATAACTCAAACGTGTTAAATCAAATTTCTTGAAAATATGAAAATTTTGAAGTAAAACACTTTAACGCTTATCTGGTGAGCGTTGTAAGTGGCAGACCATGACTTATATATAATATATATATATATATATATATATAATATATATTATATATACTACTATATATATATATATAATATATTATATATATATATATATATATATTTTAATATATATATATATTGCCTCACTCTCCACCGACTCTCTCATTTGATTGATTGGCCAAGAAGAAATTGAAAGAAGGGAAAAAGAAAGAGGAGAGGAAAGACTTTGGATTATATTTGTCAGTCAGTCATGTTACAGATTTTGTTTTATTCATTATAAGTGACAATCTTTTATTTTATTTTTAATGATTTTAATTTCTACAAATTTTATATTTCCTAAATCTGCAAAAATTACATATCTCATGATTTCATAAACTTTTATCATGCAAGTTTAAATACGTTATAGATTTTGATCATTTTGAACTATTTCATATAATTTTATTACATTTTAAATAAAGTACTGAATGATATAAGATACATGATATGATGATTCCACGTGATTAATTAAGTAGGAGTCATAAGGAGCTGAAGATTAATTAGGAGTTATAATGAGTTGTGTGACTGATTAACATAATTCAATGGAAGTTATAAAGAGTACATTAATTGAGAATTATAAAGGGAGACTGATTGAGAGTCATAAGTGCAGAAGCAATATACTCTTAAGATATACTCATTGAATATTTGACTATTGATACCAATATTGTTACGAACTCTATATTGATATTATGACTAACATTAATATTTTTCCTATTATTAACATTATTTAACATTATTGATCATGATATTAATATTATTACTAACATTAGTATTGTTTATTATTACTGATATTATAATTGATAATGTAGTATATTGAGATGTGATGAACTATAAAATTGATACTACTAATTAGTATAGACATCGATGCATATACCTTTTTATATGATTTATAATATATTATTTTCTTTTATCTAATAATGATTTCAATTGTAAGATTTTAGTTACTTATTGAACTATGTGCTCATTACGTGGTTTTACATATTTTCATGTTAAGATAAAAATATAATCATCTTTCTTTCTGTTGTTCATTGGTAAGTTATAGTTAAATGGTTAAAATGAAATACAAATGTTATTCTTTCAATATAGATCATAGAGTGTGAGAACATTTATCCCTTCCTTCTACACCGCCATATCACCAGCGCTCCCACTGCTCAATGAACCGCACCAACGCTTCCCCAACCTAATAATGTCGCTTCATTTCTACTAATCTTCAACTTGATAAGTTTACAACCCACCCCTTCATCAAGTCTATCACATTCTAGCTCAATGTTAGCTCTTTTAGCAACACGATCATTATAGTTCATGGTCCATAAATTACGAACGGAGAGACATGGAACAAAATGGCAAAAGTGTTAGTTCTCGATGATGTTAGGAAAGATTAGAATGCTGTAGTGGTAGAGATTGACATAATAGATGAGTTCGTAGGGGAGGTTGGTGACATCGACTTGTGAGAAAAAGGTGGGGAAGGGAAAGATGTTAGAGAAAAATTGGTGGGGTAAGGAGTTGATGAGAGGGAGGATGCAGGGATTGATAAGGAGATGACCATGTGGAGAGACAGAGGTAATGCCAGAGGTCGGGGCGAGAAGAGATAGAATGGATGTTAAAGGTGGCAAAGTTCACTAAAGTGAGGGATGGGCTATCAAGGTGATAAAGTGCTCGAATATGAATGTTAGAATGAATTTCTTATATTATGGTGGTGGCACCTACATTGGTTAATTTTGTATTGACCATTAAAGAAATTTTGAGTTTTCAATTTTGGTTGAGAGGCACGAAAGAGGGTTTGCTTATTTTCTAACATTTGCCAATGATCTAAAAGATAATTATGCTAAAACTAAAGATTGGACATGCTGATTTATTGAAACAACTGAAAAGGAAAAAAAAATTGCATTAAATATTCCCTTTAAATTTTTTTATTAAGATGAATTTTAAATTTATAGGCTTTATTTTCATGGTAATATAATATAAATTTAGCACATGTAGTTAATTAAAATTTATAGTAATCTTAAAATAAAGCCAATAAATTTAAAATTCATCTTAATAAACAAAATCAAAAGGATAATTCAATTTGAATTTGTTTTCATTCCAAATGTCATAAATCAAAACTTCCCAATAAATCAACGTGTGCAATCATTGTTTTTGGCCAAATTATCTTTCAAATCATGGGGCAAATAACTTTCCCTGCTCTCAACTAAAATTGAAAACTTTTTCCACTCCAATGACCAATACAAAACTAACCAACATTAGTACCACCACTGCAATAGAAGAGATTCATTCTAATATCCATATCCAAGCTCTATGCCACCTCGATGGTCCATCCCTCGCTTCAATGAACTCTAAAGCCTCTTACCTTTTTTCTATCTCCTTCCACCCAAGCCTTTGGCATCGCCTCTACCTCTCCACTTTATTGTCCCTCAATCTCCAATTCCTCTCCCACTGCTGCTTCTTCAACACCTTTCCCTTCCCCACCTACTTCATACCTTCCGACAACACCAACCTCCCTCGCAAACTCGTATTTGTTGTCAACCTCTACCACCATAACATCCTAATATTTTCCCACATTGATGAGACTAACACCTCCTACCCCTTCTTTTGTGTGTTCGCTAATCAAGTGGATCAAAATTTGCTCATGAATGACACCCGACTTGATTAGCGAACATTCTCCTTATGCAAGAACTAGAGAACTGAGAGAGGCTCGTGTATGTATGGAGAGTGAGAAAGAGACGAAAACTCAAAACTCAAAGTAAGCCAAAAGATGAAAAATATCTCAAAAATAATCAAAATATGTCTCGGCACCATTTAATAGGACTTAGAAATATACATGAATTAAGGAATACTACAACAACAACAAAAAGTACAATGCTCAATATAACTTATTGCAGACTAAATCTAACATTCCCTGATAGCTAGTACCTTTGATGTGCAAAGTTATTATTTTGGTAGAGTTCTTTAGTTAGAATATGCTATGACTATGAAATGCCTACATTGATGTGTGAAAGTATACAACCATTTAAAAGGCTAGATGTGAAAATGATAAATGAATTAAAGATAAGCATTTATTGCTTCTGCTAAATAGTAAAAAGGGAAGGTGGGTATGAATTAATGCCTTGTAATTATTGTAATCTCGGGCAATATGTAGATTTTTCATTATGATTGTGATTTGGCCCCACTCACTTCATTCTCTTATAAGTTGAAATAGCTCAAACTCTTAACTATAGAGGTATCATCCACTTTCGCCTAATGGCCTCAGAGGTTTATCTCATTGGTGTAACTTCTCAAAGACGACCACCCATCCTATGACTCCTCCCCATAAACATACTTAACTTAGAGTTTCTTAATAAAATTCTAACAATTGCACTAAAAGGCGTCTCAATGTTAAAGAGTTTAGTTTCTTTCTACTTAAGAGTTTTCATAATCTCCCAACTTAAGTAACTAACATCCTCGTCAATATCCTTACCTTATCCAAAAATCATCCACCGTGCAGTAGATTCTAGAGGTGATGCCTAGTATGTTTTAAAGGGTGGCTCCGACTATGGCGTGTCAGAATTTAATTTGAAAGTATTATTTTTTATCTTTTAATAAACAACATTAGCTCTATATAACTTCATTTATAGAAATTAAAAAATAAAAATAATTCTAGAATTCAAAACATATATATATATATATATATATATATATATATCACTACAGGAAATTGGCTTATTATCGGGAGACAAAATCCACTGTTAACAAAAGAAATTTGTCAAAAATCTTGCGTTTCCGGTGAAGGAAGCACGTCATTTTCTTCAAACGAATTCCATCAGTATTTCCAAGGGGTGTCAATTTCGAGTCACGAGTTGGGTTCAGGTCAAATCTAGAATTGACCCGTCATTATTTGGGTCAACTTGAACCCGATCCGCATTTGCAAACGGGTCAATTTTTTGAACCCGAACCCAACCCGCTTCGGGTCTGGATCAACCCGACACGACCCGAATGACCCGGGACCGACCAAAAAATGCTAGTTTTCGGGTCAAAATAGGTCATGTTATATCCAAATACCACATTAGGTAACTTAATTCCCCTCATAAATTCAAAACATCTTTCAAAGATTTGATATGATCTCTATAAGATATATATGTATGGCAATAATAGTAAGATAAGATCAAGCATTGGCATGATAGTGTCAGTTTGAATAATATTTAGGTGATGTGTCATAGGAAGAACTCTTAGGATGCTCTCACAAGTACCCTTCTTTGGAAATCTCCCTGTGGATCCCGCCTAAGATTTCCTTTTAGGAAACTTTAGTATTTAAATCTTACAATGGATCCCTACTTTAACGGAGGCAAGTTTTAACTTACTGGCCTATTATTTGAGGCCATTGATTTACTCAATATAGCTGACCAGGCAGGTTATTCACTCTAAAGCTGGACTAGCTTTATCATACTACCAGCTAGAAGGTGGATTGATTGGAAGTGCATTAGTTTCTTGTCCAAAGTCTAAGGTAGGGTTTTGAAATAGAGAAAACTAAACTGCTAGTAAACCCTCAATAATCAAGTACAAGCATCATGAATCCCCTTATGTAGTATGGTTGAACAAAAAGATTATAGGAATATAAAAGAGAGAAAAACTAAAAGAATCAAGTAGAATTTCAGCACCCCAAGCCAGATATCAATAGGTTCCATTACTCAATTCTCTAGTTCTCGACTATATAATGACTCTTATTGATGACAAGCTAAGACAAATTTTTGATTGCTTTCTAACACATCTTGCTAGTACAAAAAATTCTAGAAAATAATGAAAAAACATTAGCCGAAAACTATTTCAAATAAAGCCATAATCTAATGAACTAGTTTGCCTTAGCCGGCCCGACCAAAGGAGTTAGGCCAAACACAATGATAACTCGACCAACCTGTAGAATAGACTCGAACAAGGAGGCTCAAGATGATATGCAAGTACAAATTCAACAACTTTTGATCGCATCGTCTGCCTCGTTGCTTATATTCTCATATTGCAATTTCATTGACTTCCAAATGATTGTATTCAACCTCATCAAACCTACAATGATGTTCAAGCAAAGGCTTGTCCTTACAAGTGAACGAGACCACCAAATTAAAAACATTGATCGAGCTTCTAGCCCTTTGTAATATGGGTGAAGAATTTTTTTGGACCATTCCTTAATTTCAGGAATATTCATAGGTTGAATCAAGAAGATAATTAAGGGGAAAAATTAAGCCAAATATCCTTCTTATCTTAAAATAAATTCAATAACTTTGAAAAATACATCCTAGCTTTCTTTTTTCTTAGAATCTACTAATAAAAAAATTTCTCAAATAATTGACCAAAACACCACAATCGCTAGCACAAACCTACTTCATAGAACCCCATACTACAGAAGAATCTACAAAGACCTCAACCTCTATAAAGTTTGCTTTAATTCATCAAAAGATCAAACAAAAGATAAAAATCAAAACATCACTACTTTCACCTTATAATTAAAGCAGACTGAGAGGTAATAGGAAAAATATATATAGAGCGTGAAGCACAAAGGCAAACCAAAAATGGAAGAACAAATTTCGCATCCATACAAACTTACTGAGCATATCGGCAAGAAGATCTGTCTTAAACAAGAAGTCCCAAAACACTGAAAGCCTTAATAAGTCCATAGCTATACACTGAGATGCACTTACAAGCACAAAATCAGAGAGTTCAGGAGACGAATCTTCTGCAACCATTGAAATACACATGCTTCAGTTCTGCTATGGAAAGTGAGAATTGAGCATCTCCCGATACACCAAGTCTATGAATTGATTGTTCTGAATTGGCAAATATCAAGTTGAAAAACTATTATATATCTGGCACAAAAACAACATAAACATATATATATATATATATGAAATTATAAAAAGAGGATTTTTATGCATATCTAACATCTAAATCTTTATATTTACTTATATAACATCATAATGTTTAGATCACACAAAAATATATGCATGAAATGGTATATTTCATTTTAAGATAAGTTGATGTTAATGATTTTTTTTATGTGATTTTGATATTTAAGATTTATATAAATTAATATAAGAATTTTAAGTGTTATATATAGGAATACATAAGAATTCTATCGAGTGAAGAATATAAATCACCAATGAATGTATAAATCCCCCTTAAGAAAACTTTATTGTACCAAAAAGGGCCAAATTACTCTTTTATTATCCCCCCGATTGTGAGAAATAGAATATGCAGTTAACTATTGCGCAATCCAGCCATAGATTCCAGTCATTCACCAGTTTTTACTTCAAGGATGATTATCAAAGAATCAGTATCTCTAGAATTATTTCATAATCATTTAATATGTTCTGGTTGTACAGAAAACTAGATTGGAGGTTTACATGCTCATATTTATGATATCAGGAAACGGGAATGTTAGAAACTCTAATGTAATTCACCATTTCAGTTCAGCGATGTTACTAACCTTAAATACTGGATTACATTAGAGTTTTTAACATGCCCGTTGCAGTGAAGCTTCATATAAATTACACTGGTAACCGTGTATTGCATATTTGCTTCCTTCTACTTTTGAATGATTCAGGCTAAAATTTTAACAAGACATCTTCATTACATCTAAGCCAGGTAGAAAAATTTAAAAGCTTAAATGATATGATCCTTTGCATATAATTTTTTTCAAATGAAACTAATACATGTTTACCTTATGTTAACCTTGATTTGGTAGAATGATAGCATAACTATATATATACACATCCACGTATTAACAAGTAAGCATCAAAGGAAAGGAAAACAAGTTCAAGCACCTACGATGTTTTGAAGTTACAGTGAAGCACTAATATTAACATGCAAGCTTTCTTTTGATAAAAGTAAAAGGTAGTCAAATTTGAAAGAAAAGGAGCCTTCTAATTTTAATGTAGCAGCAAAGCTTACAAATAACTAATTTACTACTTAAAACTTATGGACCTGAAATAGTTTATTTCAGTCAAAATACAAATTCTGAAAACTTACTAAAATGTAGTAAAAGAAAGGGCAATGCAACAGATCGATAATATAAACTCCATTGACATAAACTAAATTATAAAAACACTCAAGCAATCAACAACTTGATTCATTATGATCTAAGCCATCACTATTATATTGTCCCTTCAAGAAGGAAAAAAAAAAAAAGCAAAATATATAGCAGTTTCTTTTATATTTTTGTAGCTATGCTAGTCTTCCACGGGTATCATTTCTCAACTACTTACAGATGCTATTGATTCTTAAGTCTTTCTCAAGTACAATTTACAGAATTCTTCCCTAAATTTTGCATGACTTCCATTCAGCCCAAATTTTGAACGAGGGAAACAGAAATTACAGCCCTAAAGTCTTCTCAAATTGAATAACAAATTAAGGATAGTATTTAAAATAAAATAATGCTGAATGTATTGCTAATGAAATTACATAAACTATACCTGTACAAGCCTCAGTAAAGCATCACGGACCTTGTCTCTAGTAATGACTGAACCATAGTTTTGCGTGGGAGTGAGGGAAGGAGGTGGATTGGGTGGTGGAAAGGGTTGGAGAAGTGGAGTGCCATATGGACGCTGCATGGTGACCGGAGGATGAAGAGGAGGAGCAGTAGGTACAGAAGATGAAATCGGTGGCATCAATAATGCAGAAGATGAAGGTGAAGGTGCAAATAAGGAAGGCTTCACAAGACTAGTAATGAGGTTATTTCCACCATTAGCTTCAAGAGTATCAAGTACAGACATTAGGGGAGGAGATGAGGATGGCAAAGAAGGTGCAGTTTGAATTGTTGAGACAAGAGGTAGTGGCACGCTAGGTGTGTGAGGAGTTGGAGTAGAAGACTGATGTAGAGATCCAGGTATCGTTGTATTGGATACATTTCCAATGCTCATACCTGTCTGCAAAAGAGAAAAAACAAATTGGAAGTTAACACAAAAACAACTGCGATATTTATTAATCCCACCAGGAGAGAAACGTGATATGGAACTGAAGTGCTTCATGCAAAAAATTGTAACCCCGGAAATTTAGAAAGCAGTAGCATGGCAAAACAAGCAATGGAAATGCTAGAAATGTTATGCCAAGAATTATGATTATATGATTAAAACTGAAACAATCAAACAATCTTAAAAATACCCTCAAATTTTTAATATGATGTCAAGACATATATGAAAGCAAGCTAGTTTTCAGGCTGATTTGAAGTACATACACTGAAAAAGTTTACAAATGACTCCTCAGAAACATCAGGAACTGCAGCAGAAGATGCAATTTGTGGCTCCAATGGACCTTCAATGACAGACAAACTTGGTGTAGCTTCCAACTCCTCAAACTCACTGCTGTAGATGCAACAACAGCATAATTACATGATTTTCTAGGATAGCCAGTATTAGAAAACTGAAGTGAAAGAAAATCCTACAGGAATGAACATAAACTAGAAATGCTTGAAAGGTGTATTAATAATTGAAAAGAATAAAAAACATAAATTCACTTACAGTTTGTGCACCAATGAACTCAGTCAATCACCATGATATTTCTTAAAATACAGCAGTAAGAAGCCTTTCCTTAATACCTTTCTCATCTAGTCACTCATGGCATTCAATTATACTTATTGTCTGTCTAGTATATATATATATATATATATATATATATATAGTCTTAAATAATTAAGAGATCTGATCTCGAAATCAATTATTTTCAGCTTCAGCCACTGAGGCTAGCTTGCACGAGCTAACAACTGGATATCCACTCTTAATCAAAATCATTCATATCTTTAACTTCATTAAAGCGGATTGGCTCCTTAACAAAACATATTGAAAAAAATAATATTTTTAATTAATACATTTCGTGTTCTAATAGAAGTGCATATATTTTATCAACCCAGACATGCAAATATGCATTTTTAAGATATTATGTTGCCCATATGTTCTTGACAAATGATGATAATTTATGCTTGAGATATTTTCATAAAAAGGCCATTTTCTTACAATGATAATTGTTCGTATGTAATACATGTAGCGAGAATCTCAAACTAGCCTCAAAAAGGTTAAAATAATATCTATTCACAATAGCTTTAAACTACTTATCGAAAGCAATGGAAGCTAATATTCTGAGTTGATTGTACATTGTACTAGCTTTTCTATTAATTTAATAAATTGGGGCAAGTATCCCAATTTCACGACACAAAGGGTTTTGGATTTGTCTAACCCTAGGCCCGTCTAGTGTTTGCTTTTCCTGGTTGCATGGCTGATTTTGCTTCACATGAAGTAGAGTTTTGAAAGAGTCGGTCAATGAAGATTCCCCACCTCATTTGACAACATTGTTGCTACTATCGGATCAGAAATCACGATGGGAGCTCGCCTGAATGTAACAATATTTCTCCCCTTTAGAGCACTTCATCGACTAAATACCGTAAATCCACTGAACCATTGAATTTACTAAATCCAAGATGTTGCGGAAAAAGGTGGAAAACGACATAAAATGAAGATGTGACATACCATGAGATTTGAGCAAGCATTTGGCAAGATTTTACTCAAATCATGCTTAATTCATGTATCCAAACAGCCCCTTAATGTTGCGCCATTGTGGGAGAAGCTTCGATTGTTACAAGGGAATCAACCTTATCAGAGAAATCAAGATTTTGATTTTATTATTATTTTTTGCTGGAATTAAGCCTTGTTCTCCAACTATTAATTTGTTATTAAACTACTGCCTAAAGTCGATTAGAAAAGGATTTTAATCCAAGGACTTTTTCATCTCTTGGCTGAAGCAAAACAAAAGAAAAACTGCTGCTAAGACAAAAGGCGTGAAACTCGGCAACAACTGGTACCATCTCTGCAGGTGGCATAGAGGAGGTCCATTGGCAGGAGTTTGCTGCAGGCGAGTCGGCTGCAAGTAGAGAAGACCGGCAGCTGGTTCTGGTAAGATGTACAGGCCAACAACTGGCAAGCTTTTATAACCAGGGACTTGTTGCAAAGTGATATCGATATATCGATATATATCCCCGTATGAAATGCTGGTACACTGACAAAGGGAAAATAAATCACTTCAAGTTCCATAGGTTTTTTCCTTTGTAAAGCTTCCATAATTCCAAAAACAAATTCGTTTGTGTGAAGAATCACTCCTCCATGGAAGATTCATTGATTTGAAATAGTACATATAAGGAACTTTATAATTATCACGCATTGAAATCCTAGGTCGATTATATCTCTCAACACTTTGATGCATTAATGGAACTTTGTTCAAAGCCAAATAGAAATAGGTAATTAATATTAGCACTTTATTGTAAGAAACATACAAGTTGCAATTGGAATTATGAATATTATTAAAACGGACATTTCTTCCTTGAACTTTTCACATTTCATTTGGAACAAGTCATTTCCGCATGTTCTGTTTTTCCTTTAAAATTTCCATATTTTGTTTTCCTTCAAAATTTCCATATTGTGTTAGATTACGTCCAAGTAGTTTCAAATTTACATTTCACTAAACGATAAGCCTCATGATGATTATGATGATGATGCTGATGAAGATGATGATCATGACCTAAACAATATAATGATAACGTCTTAATTAAATTCTGATCTTTTTTAAGACTGCCTCAAGGAGAAATGCATTCTTAACATGTTTAACACCAAAAACTAAGCAAGAAAGATAATCAATTAATTTAAGTTCCTAAATAAAAACCATTATCTGTGTTAGTGTATCCGCATTTGAATAGAAACTGAAGACTGAATACAACAGCACTCAGATTGAATGTTTGACAATAAGAAAAGTTCATAATACTAGAACAAAAGAGGTTACCTCTTGTTCGCAGGCACTTTAGATTTAGGATGTGCTTTGGAGAATGCATTAAGTATCCTGAACAAGAATAATTTTCTCATCAGATAACCAAAATATTAGATAGCATCTAAGATACTACCATGAGCTATAAAATTCTGAAACTGAATTGATTAAATACATTACAGTAATGCACAATATCAAACCAACATGACAAGTATAAACATGAGAAAAAACAAGCTAATAAAATATTGCAGACAAAAGATGCTAAAACTATCACGCAAAAAAAAATTATGATCCCAAAGAGCAGCAGGACATTTGGACACTCTCCCTTATTCTGCAACTGCAAATTGCAAGCAGGGTGAAAGACTGTTGCAACCTCCACCAAGTTTGATTTTGGCAAAGTCTGGATAAAATCAGGAGAATCCAATCATGATCTGAGCTCCAACCAAATTATGCCCAAAATTACCTAGTTTTTTTAATTCACTATAAGGAAATACTTGAAGATCTCAAGTAACCCTAACAAGAGAAGCAAAAACAGCAAAAAAAAAACCCCACAAATTTAATTGAAAACCAAAGAAAAACAGTAATTTTATTGCAAGAATCAAACAAACGGAAGAAAAATAGCACGATATAATTGATCCTCAATTCGAGAGGATGATCTATCTCTCACAATCCCTAGACGCTGCTAGAACCAAGACATCAAACTCCAAAAACAAGAACAGCCCAAATAATTTGAATAACCCTAACCTTAATCCTCTCTTCCTATTTAAAGCAAACAATTAAACAACAAATACCCAAACAGCCCTCCCCTAATTCCCTCCTATTTTCTTAATTATTTCCCTCCCGAATCAGACCTCAAATCATACCATAAATTTTCCCTCTTCAATTATGAAACATTTCTTAATTAATCTCCCCTAAATCAGCCGCCAAATCAGCCCATAAATATGTCCTCTTCAAATAGGAAACATTTCTTAATTAATTAAAAAAACAAAAAATAAAATAAAATAAAAAATATTTCCTAATTAATCCCTTCTAAATATGCCCCTATATATGCTCTCTTCAATTAGAAAATATTTCCTAATTAATTTCTTTTGATTAAGAACCTTCCTAAACAACTCCGTCTTGATTAGGAAATTTCCTAATTCCCTCCCAATAAAATTTGGCCGGTCTATTATTTACACATAATTAATTGACTATACTGAATATTCGCTTGACTAAGCTAAACCATCAATTTGGATTAGCCTAACACAATACAAATGTGAATACGCAGCTGAGTCAAGCTGAGTACACTATGAGTTAGATTTGGTTTGATCATACTTAGTTTTTGTTTCGAGCCGAACACTTACATATATGTTCATATTTGACTTGTTAAAATTTTTATATGATCGAACTTACCTAAATTAATCAAACAATTACATAAAAGAGAAAATAAGCAACCTCAAAAAATGAACGAGTACTTGGCTTCTTATATTAATAAATGATTATACAATTCAAAAAGAACAAACAATTCAAAAAGTCTGGAATTAGTATCAAATTACTTGATACTAATTAAATAATCATTAATAAAAAAACAATAATAATTAAGCCATGTACATGCTTTCTTGGAATCATATAAAATAAATAAATACCAATAAACTTGCAAATTAAAAAAAGAAATAAAAAGGGATTGCATCAAATCAATATATAGTAATAGATTAATTAATTTTTAAAACATAGAAATCTTAAGAATAAACATAAATATTTATCTACATAAAAACCATTCCATGGAAAACAAACTTCTACCAACTCAAAATGATTTTATAACTTTGATCTCATAAAGGTAAAGATGATTTACTATAAATAAGAAAATCAAAACGAAATGAGATGCTTCAAATTCCAAAATATGGTGGACTAACATAAACCAAATTTAAGCTCCCCCTTCTGTAAATTTAACTCCTTATCAACAATATATCCAATGGCAACTGTATATTATTTTTTCTTATTACCATAAATTTGTTATCACAATAACCATTCTAGCTCAACAAACCCTTTCAATCTCTTATCAATCTCATAATTACAAATACAATCTTGCTTAGACATAACTACAAATGAAATCCTCTAATAATATGGGCCAACAAACTTTATCAGCATGTTAAATATTTCATACTATGGGGCTGTTTGGTTGCCTGAATTAGGAGTGTAAAGTAAAACAAATACCTGTATTTATTAAATTTGGTTGTTTGGTTAATTTTGAGTGGAACAAAAGGTAATCGTCGGATGCGTTAGGAGTGTATTATGGAGGCTGTTTTGCGGGAATTAGAAACCCGCTCGATTCGAGCGGGTTATAAATTCATCTGAAGAAAAGCGTAGCTTTGTCGTGCTGTTCGGCTTCAATCGAGAGGAGAAAAGCGAAGCTTCAAACGAGAGAAGAAAAGCGAAGCGTCGTGCTGTTCGGCTTCAATCGAGAGGACTTCATTTCGGCGAGCTCCAATTAGTGGAACATATCCTCCGTATAGACCCCTGAATCATCAAGAAACCTACCGCTTACGGCCGCCTCTCCTCCCTCCACATCGCCACTGCAAATGGGAACGACGAGGTTTCCCTTTTTTATTGACGAGATCTTTCCAAAGGCGGTTCATTTCTCATTTCTATTCAATCCTTGATAGCTTCGTTAACATTATTTTCAGATGCTTTCAATGCTTTTGGAGCGATGGAATCACCCCGATGTTCTCAACCGGCACAAACAAGTAACAGGAGACGAAAAAATCGAATCTTTTTCATAATTCTGCGATCAAAATCTGATATGTCCGTGATTTTGCTCCGAAGACTCCTCTTATGCTGGCCGCAATGCGTGGGAAGATTGCTTGTGTGGAGAAACTCCTTCGGGCGGGAGCAAACGTAGGCTTTCTTTTCTATCTTCTTCTGCGTTTCTCTTTTATCCGCTTTCATCGATCGACGAACTTTTAATTTTCCCTTACGTTCAGATCTTGATGTTTGATTCGATGAATGGAAGAACATGCTTGCACTATGCAGCCTACTATGGTCATTCTGATTGTTTAGAATCAGTTCTTGAGGCTGCCCATTCCAACCCGATTTCAGAATCCTGGTACTGAGTGATAAAAATCTTATAAGTCGGATCATTTGGATTTCTTTGCAATTTCTAACAATCTTTCGGTCTTCTTTTTATCTTTTCCTTCTCAAACATTAGGGGATTTGCCCGTTTTGTTGATGTGAAGGATGCCAAGGGGGCAACGCCATTGCATCTTGCTGCGAAGCAAGGTCGGTT